GCCAACTGGGGCTGGCCAGCTGGTGAGGGACTGCAAGAGGTTGGCCGGCCAGAGAGGGGCTGTGGGAGTGCTCCAGGGCATGTCCAGCCCTCTCATCCAGTGCTGATCAACCAGACCGCAGCAGCTAACCTACTAGTTGGAGTGTCTGCCCCCTGGTGGTCATTGCACATCATAGCACCTGGGAGAGCAGTTGACCAAAAGTTTGACCAATCATTGGGACACTTAGCATATTAAGCTTTTATTATATAGGATAAACTGATGAGAGTGTCACAATAAAACATGTAAGTTATCTAAGATGACGTTTATGCTATCAACTGAGAGCATGTTCTGTAAAAGATGTTAACATCCATAATGGGAAATCAGTATTTTGACTATGATTTATTTTTTAAAAGAATTACTATTATAAAAATTTCCATTGATGTTAATTTTTGTTTCTATGTAACATGATCATAGGGTATGCTTTACAAAACATATTTATTTGAATAGAATTTTTGTTGAAATATTAAATTTACTGCTTGCTTCATTTTTGAAATATTTTTTCAAGTCACAATAAAAATAAAAATAAGGTTTTTATTACCATGTAAATATTTTTTTTATTTTTTAAAATGTATTTTTATTGGGGTTTTTTTTTAGAGGGAAAGGAAAGGAAAAGGAAAGAGAGATAGAAACATCCCTGAGAGAGAACATCAATTGGCTGCCTCCTGCATGCCACTCATCAGGGATCAAACCCACAACCCAGGCATGTGCCCAGACCAGCATCAAATCAGCAACACTGAGCCACACTTACTGGGCTGCATAAATATTTTGATGATTCATTTGAAAGTTTTATAATGTTAAAAAAAAGAAAGTTTTATAATGTTAATTTTGATAAACTTTTCATTGTGTTTTTTTTGAATTTTAAATATCTAGTTAATAAGTTTTTAAAAAATGTGTTTTTATTGATTTTTAGCTAAAGAGGAAAGGAGAGGGAGAAAAAAACATCTATGAGAGTGAAACATCGATTGGGTGCCTCCTGCATGCCCCTTACTGTGGATCGAGCTAGCAACCCTGGCCTGTGCCTGACCTGGAATTGAACCGGTGACCTCTTGTTGCATGGAATGATGCTCAATCCACTGTGCAACACTGGCCAGGCAGGAGTTATAGATTTTAATTTTTCATTGAGAGTCACTTTAATAGAAAAGCAAACAATGATATTTGATAGATAAATATTTTTATATGGCCCCTGTAGATACCAAACTAAAAATTTTATTTCCTTTGATATTTTTTTTTGCTGGCAAAATGCTTATACTTCATACTAATACAACTTGAAACATTTATAATTTTCCCGTACCTCTTGAAGTAAAATACACTGTAAATAAAGATATTGAGACATCACGTTAGGGTAAATGTCGGTCAAATCTATAAATCGGTTAAATTCAGACTAAGTGGTAGACTTGATTATACACCTTTTGATAATTAAACTCTGTAGGAAAAGTTGGCCCATGCTAATAACCATGATACTGATCTTTTCTTGATGTTAGTGTTCTTATTTTATTTCTGCATTTACATTCTCAGTCCTATTGTCACAGAAATATTAATACTACTATTTCGAGAGGAGCCGAAATAGCTCAGTTGGGAGAGCATTAGACTGAATACTACTATTTAGTTCTTTTTGCTTTCTCTCCAAAAATGTATTATCTGTAGGAGCACATGTACTAAATAAATTGAGTAATATCACTGATAGTGGAAAAACTTCCTTCAACATCTTCTCATTTTGTATCTCTAAGGTTATTGTGAAACTTCCAAAGTTTTTATTAGCACCTCGGTTTAAATGTTCCCAAAATATATGTCTATATTTATCTCAGAGATTCTGGAGACTTAATTGATTCAAAATCTAATTCATTATTTTTCTAACAAATACACTCCTCCTTTGCTTTCTTCCTCAATTAGTGGCAGATCATTATGCTTCTTTTTTATTAAGCTAGATATTCCATAAACATCTTGATTCTTTCCCTTCCTATTTATTCCTAATGGTATTCTGTCTTAATCTTCTTTTACAAGGTTTTATAAAAAAAATCCAAACTGTTTTTATCTCTTAGCTTTTTTTTTCTGTAGTGCTTTGCCAGTAGTAATACCGAAATCATTTGTCGTCTCAAAACTTTTGTGAAGTTACTTTAATTCTTAGTCTTGGGATCATCAAAGAATAGGTCTACCCTGATTTTCTATTGGTCACCCACTTTTTAAATATTAGTATCATGTTACACTAATTAATATTTTATTTCAATTTTAAAATCAAACAAACATGCAAAACTAAAACCTGCTTAATAAATATGAGGAAGAACATAATATAACACTGAACTGTGAGAGATGATTATTTTAATGAATTTAATGAAATATTATATACTAGAGGCCCAGTGCACAAAAATTTGTGCACTTGGGGGGGGGGGAGACGGGTCCCTAGGCCAGCCTGTGCCCTCTCACAGTCTGGGACCCCTCAGGAGATAATGACCTGCAGGCTTAGGCCTGCTCCTGGGTGGCAGAGGGCAGGCCCAAAACCTAGGTACAGCCCCTGGTCAGGCTCAGAGTAGGGCTGATTGGAGAGTTGGGGCGCCGCCCCCTGTCATGCACAGAACAGGGCCGATTGGGAGGTTGTGATGCCATCTTCAGTCACGCTCAGGGTAGGGCCAATTGGGGGGTTGGGGCACCGCCCCCTGTCACACTCAAGGCAGGGTTGATGGGGAGGTTGTGGCGCTACCCCCTGTCACGCACAGAGCAGGGCCAATCAGGGGGTTGAGGCGCTGCCCCCTGTCACGCACAGAGCAGGCCCATCAGGGGGGTTGGGGTTCCTTACCCTGTCATACACAGAGCAGGGCCCATCAGGGGGTTGGGGAGCTCCCCCCTGTCACTCAGAGAGTAGGGCTGAAGGGGAGTTGGGACACTGCTCCCTGTCACACACAGAGTAGGGTGGATCAGGGGGTTGGGGCACCGCCCTCTATCACCCACAGAGCAGGGCCGATCAGGGGATTGGGGG